GGATTTTTTTCTTTGTTTTCTCGCTCCTTCCGGATTAAGCGAGAAATGTTGGTATCGCAAATGCGGGCGCATTTCGCGTGCCAACGGCATAAATAACGCTCGGTTTGCTTGAGGCTGTCAGGCAGTTTTATGCTGTCGCTTTTGCGGTCGCGATGCAAGCTGCGGCTGCACTGTCCGTTTTCGCGCTGCTCTTTATTTATTTCCACCGATATTTCCATTTTCCAGCGAGAAGCGCCGACGAGGGAGATTATTACGCGGCCGACCAAAACGTAATGACCAGTAAATTTGTCTCTCTCTCTCTCTCTCTCTCACTCTCGCGTTATATAATAGTATCTATATAAATTATCGGTCGCGTATATGCAATTGTTTAACCACCGCACCGCGAAGCGTCAACAAATTTAAACTGGATAAATCGATAAAACGTCGCGAAACAAGTCGCGCGTGCGTCATTATTATGCAATGGTTGATATTTTTATATAAAAAAAAAGAAAGAAAAATATCCTGGCAATCCGTCGAGCGGGATGAATTTGTTACACGCGGAAAATATTTTGTTTTTTACATTAATTCGCGAACACGCGATCCCTGCGTGTCTAAAATAGTTCCCGACAATAGATCGCTTTGTTTTAGCGACGTCGCGTAAAATATTTCGCTTCGCACTTCGTGTGTTGAACCAATTAAAAAAAAAAACTTTCCCCTGTGCTTTTCCACCGAGAGTCGCCGACACTTTTCCGAGGGTGGGTGACAAATCGGTAAACTACCGAGACAGAGTTATGTTTGGGCGACGCGATATTTACGATGTGATCGCATACAAAGAGAGAGAGAGAAAGAAATGGGGGGTCAGTAGGGAAAAATTCATCAAAAAAACTCCCCTCCTGAAAAAAAGTCGTGAAATAGAAACATGGAATACATCCTGTATATATATATATATATACAATTTATTCCGCACAGTCGAATCCGCTGCGGAATTCCGGATTCCCTAATCCTCGCGGCCATTTGGCACTGGAAACTGCGCACGTTGATTAAACGTCAATGGCCTGTTACAAGATCGAGATACGTCGGTGGTATCTGAACATGATCCGCCGATTCCTCGTTCGACCGATCGCGCACACTAATTGCACCTCCCCCTATATAAGGGAGGGGGTGCCGAATGTTATCAATTAAGACGCGACCACTAAAGCGCGATTGTCGCAGACAATTAATCCCGTAACCGTTTCGGATCGTCATGAGATGAGTCAGCAACGTCGCGACGTCGCCCGACGTTTCTCGCAAAAAAAAAGTAAAAAAATAAAAAAATAAAAAAAACCTATCGCCATTCATTCGGGGATAATGGACCATCGGAAACTCCATCGGATCTGCCGAGAGTATTTTTCGTTATTGTTTGTCACAGCGTGGAAAAAGAACGGGGGATGGGGACCATCAAAAGCGAAGAAAACACGTGCCATCAATATAGGAACTTGACAGCCCGATTATTAAGCGTAAGAATCCATTAGAGAACAATTTTTGCGTTATTTTGTTCAATTATTTTCAATTTTTTATTTTTAATATATTATCTTATTAAAGTACTAAAGTAATATTATATCTTAGATATATTAAATTGCATAACTTTTTATTCCTTTTGTTATATATGTATTTACATATTATACTTTGGTATACAAAGAAAATTTTCTCTTAGAATTTACCCTAAAAATTATGATAATCGTGGGACAATATATATATTGGAAGAATTTTATAAGAGATTCTCTGATTAATATTTTTACTACAATAAAAAATATTCAGATCTATATCACAATAAGATATAAAATATGTTCGATTAATTTTATTATGTACATAGTAAAATGTACTATGTACATTATTATTTTTTACTATGGTAAATATTTTTAATCAGAAAAACTCTCATAAAATTCTTCCAATATCATATTGTCCCACGATTACCATGATTTTTAGCACAGTAGGAAAATTTGTGTTTTCTTGTTAAAATTTTTGTGTTAAATATTTAACACATTCATGTGTTAATTTAACATATTGCTCTTGTGTTAATTGAACTTTGTTAAATTATTAAAACAACTAAAAAAAGATGTAAAAAATAACACAATGTGTATCTATTTTTTATTTCACACAATAAATGTTCCGTTTTATTAGTGACAAGATTTATCTGTTAAAATTTACAGAAAAAATGTTGATATTTTTATTTTATAAAAGTAAGGATGATAAAAACTAAAATTAACATATTTTTAGTTAATTTTTAAATTATGTTAATTTTACACAAAATTTATTTTAAATTATTTCAAGTTTTGCATTTATTTTAAAATTTATGGTAAAATATTAGCATTTTGTCTCCATTTCACATATCCGTATTATGTTAAATTAACACAAAAATTTCTGTAGACTGTTTGAGACATGTGATAGCTGCTAAATTTAACACAAATTTTTCAACTGTGAGAGTAAAGTGTAAGAGAAAATTCTCTTCGTGCATATTATATTAAATAAATTACTTTGTACATATATACATATATATGTAACTGTTGTAAGTTCTTTATAAATTCAAAAACATTCTTCATAAAAAATTGAACATTTTTTCTAAAAAACGAATTTTTTGTAGAACATTTATAGAACAAAAAAAATTGGATTTTATCTAGATTAAACAGACTTTGCACATTCAATAAATAATAATTAATATTATTTCAATATATAAAACTAAAAAGAATCTAATAAGAGGTAAACGCGAGATAAAGGCACGAAAAGATCTCCTAATTAATTTTAAGCATCATTTGTTAATTGAAAATATTTCAATATTAATACTTTATTAATATTGTTTATAATATTAATATTCCTATTAATATTCTATATTTAATTATTAATGTTATTTAAATGTAATAGTATATGTTTTTTGTGTAATTATTATTTCAGAAGAAATCCCTCGAAAGGATCTTCAAGTACAAGATTTTTTAAGAAAAAAGAACTACTACACGCACTGACTTTTGCAATTACACCGTGAAAGAAACAATTTGAGAACCTAATAATGACAGCTATTTAAACAACGTTATTGAAGGAACCGCGAGGGAGGTTGTTCAAAGGATCAAGCTACTGTCTTCCTCTGCATTATAACGATCCATTAATATTAAGCAGATGTAGAGTCCCGCAGATAGACAAGCTGTTTTCATTGCCTTTCATGCGGTAATGAAAAGCGAAGTGTTTCTCGTGCGTCATCCTTTCTTCGTTTAAAGTAGAAGAGATCATTTCTATTCCGCCGAGGTCTTCGAGATAAAGTTTAAACCGAGCGAAATTCTGCTTGTGTTAGACATTTGACAGAAATGAGAGAAAAAAAACATTTTTTTATATATATTTCTTTTAATATATATTTTTATGATATATATATATATATATATATATATATATATATATATATATATATATATATTATTAAATCATCCTCCCTCGCGTGTGTCGCTTATTCTTCTGCTCCCTTATAAAATGAATTCTTAAATTGTCGACCTTCTTCTCTGCGTATTTCATAATGTATCTTTCTTCCGTGATACTGTATAAAAATTTGATAATTTGACTCACCAACAGCAGTGCACACCCCGACGATCCTCGTCATCGTCGTTAGATGATGCGTGTCGCTCGGCCTTTCGTAGGTAGACATCTCGCCGACAGAGTCCTTCGCGAAGTCCTTCGTTTGAGTTATCATGGGATGTGCGATAAATCTGCCCGTTAAATTGTATTTCACGTCTTTCAACACAGATTCTCTGCAAAAACAACATATAAATATAAATTACTTGTAATTATTTTAACCTTTCTCCCTAACCTTTACACAACTTTGAACGCGCATGGGAAAAGTTTTTATATAAGAGAAGTTATTAATAATATATCTTGCATATTCCCTATTACGGTTATTATATAATATCATTCTGTATAAAAGGGATACACAATATATGTATATACGACGTACATTTGTATTGAAAAGAGCACAAAGGCAAATTAATTTTCTACTTGAAGAAATTATATTCTTCGAAGCGATATAATTGTATCTACATCATTGTTCATATTTTTTATACAAAAATATGCTAATAATATTTCATTATTTTGGATTGGAAAACTTGTTGCTTCGATGCTAGTTTCTCATTAGATTTCTGATTTTTTTTCAAATTTAACTCACCAAAATTCCCACCGGTCGCCAAAGCGTCCTCCACCATCGCAAGCTCGCGCGAAACTGCAAACGCATCGCGGGAAACGCCGCGGCGCCAAAAACATTGAGCATGCGCAAACGTCACTTGCCATTTAAATTTCTCGTCGACCTGCGTCGATCGCCTCACCACGTGTTCTTCGAGAATAGACAAAATATTATTATTGTATTGTTATTTAATACAAAATATATTAATTTAATGAAGATATTCACGCATTTTCTCCTATGCCATATCATTTTGTTCTATGCATATACTTTCTATTTTATATAAATAAATATATATATATACACACACACATATACATGACATGCATATATAAATATAGTTGGCGCGCATAACATGCAGCAAAAAAAGTTCAGCTCCATTTAGTACTTTTATATTTTTTTTATGCGATATATATTTAACTTTAACATTATGTATATAACATGACGGAAAAATTGAAGGCCTATATTTTCAATGAATAGTAATGTATATAAAATATTGTTTTAAAATTTGAAAAAATTATAAGAATACATTATATACACTATATATATATTTAATATATAATGTATATAAAATATTGTCCTAATTTTTTCAAATTTTTACATTTCTAAATTTTTAGATGAAATCAAATTGTAGGTACGATAGGACAGTGGGATAATAACACGATGGTTATTATACTTTCACCGGCAACAACAACGCTATTATATGTATATTTATATATCACATCCAATATATTCACAATAATACAATAATATTGTGCTGCATATATAAAAATATATCCACTCGCGATAAGCGTGTAGAACAACACTCGAATAAATATACACGGACACATGGTGAGGTAGAAACAGTTATGATTTATGGAACAATCGTATTTAAAAATCACACAACATCGCATGTGCGTATGCGATTGCAATGATTATCTTTCGTAAATTATACACGACAATAAATACATTTGTATACATGTATATATATATATCGTTTTAAAGCGGTTTCCGCCGTGCTCCAAGCGTTATCCTGCTACGAAACCGAACGCGTTGAAGCAGCATGTTTTGTACTCTTCGGTTTCCTTACAAACGCTAAGACAATAAGACAATTATATTACGACACATTTTAGAAAAATATATTTCTTATAAGCAAGTGTTCGAAGCGCTTCAACTTTTTTGCATTAGGCATTTTTATTTTTTTTTTTCAGGAGCCCTCTGTTGTTCGAGCTTTCTTTTTCTTGCTTGTGACCATTCTGGAATTATAATCCCAGCCAGCTGAGAGCAAACCGATTTTTGATTGCGAAGGAATGATGTGTTTTCCCTGAACCTCCAGATCGCGAGTCGCGTGAGCAGATTTCGGTATCTTTGAACGAGAAATCGGACTTAGTGGTCTCCTATTGCAGTGTAAGATAGCGGGCGATGGTGCGAATAATCTGAAATGTATAAAGTCATTTAAATATATATATTGTGTTTTTTAAATTCCAAATTAAACTGAAGCTATCTTAGAATTCTATTAAAAAAAAATGTTTTAATTTTTTTCAATAAAATATCAACGTACCTATTTTTGTTACCAGGAAGTCTCGAAGTATCTATGGGCGCGAGTCGAATATTTTTTGGCCAAACGGTGGGACAGACAGGAGTTTGCCAGGCAGAATGAATATTTGAATTTCTCAAAACGCTCGATCTTTTTGCAGAACCACGGAAATCGCCCGAAATGTTTCGGGCTGATCCTGAAATATTTAAAATACTTTTTTTATACTAATGCGAATTAATATTAATCATAATGCTTAAATAATTTGATATTTTCTACCTTGAAAAGAGGAAATTTCTAAATCCTCATTCATGAATCTAATAGGAATAGTATTTAAGGTAGAGAAGCTTTCTCGTGTAGATACCGCAAAAGGCACAGGACTCACAACAATTCTCTCGTTAAAAATAGTACCAAGCTTATTTCTGCCTATATGTGGAGTGCCTAATCTCTCCTTGGCTTTTGATGCATCATCGTCTTCCGTACTATCAGAGTCTCTTGGTTTATTTTTATTTGATTTATTTGCAGAAATTGAACTTCTCTGTTTCCTAAAAATTAAATTTTATATATACATATATATATATAATAAAAAAAAACGTTCTTATATTTAATACTTTGTTTTACAAATCTTACTTTTGAACTTTTTGATAATTTGTATCATTCTTTATTGTCTGAAGAGAATTTTCTGTATCCAACAATCGATTTCGTATGCTTAAAGACTTGTTCTCAATATAATTAGGAGAAATTGCTTCTTCTGTCCAATTTGTTTTTGAGTTTCTTGATGAATTTCTGTTGCCATAAACAGGAGCAGGGGCTATTTTTAAAGCACTGCTTAGACTTTCGCACAAAGAATCTGTATCATTCTCCTTGTTAGGAATGATCTCAGCGATTACATGCTCCATCAGTATGTCAAGTACAGCTTCAAATGTTGCTATGTTGTATTTGTATTGTGTAGAATCTTCTCCTTCCTCTCTCTGTAAATATAAAAGTTTATAAAATAACATAAAAATACAAATATATTTTGTACATACTAGAGAAAATTTTATATTTCTTACCTTTGTTGAATGTTGACTATGCTCTATAGATACTTTATCATTTTGTAGATTATCGAATCTTTTCATCCTATCGTCATTGGAAACAATATCGTGTTTTGTATTAGTATTATTGGTGCAAAGATTGTTTTGTGCTGAACTTCGGCCAATTATTCTCAAATATGGGATCTGCGTTCTCCATTGTATACATTCATCCAAAACGGATCCTTGAACCAGCTGATCATCCTCTTCCTCGTAGAGTGTCTTCTCCACATTTGCCCATTGTTCTTCCAGTTTCTTGGTGGCTGTATCTTCCACCTCTTGTGACCAAGAGATAGATGTTGCCGCACTGTTCTCATTGGACAAAATGTTATCATCATCCTTCCACGATTTCTGCCGTGGCAAACTAGGCAGCCGGAAACGACCACTCCATTCGTTATCAAACCCATCTTCTTCGTCTTTAAATCGCAGTAGATGTTGAGGAGCCTTTATTTTTTGCGTCAATGGACTGACTCTGCGAGACATCGAGTATCATATCATCAGTATTTATCGCAGTGAATTTTTCCAAATAATGTAAAGTAAGACTTACGTGTTTTTCTTGAAGCTGTTTCTTCGCATTTCATGCTTTCCGAAAGATTTTCTCCATCAATCAAGGATCCGATCAGCCTGACAATCCCTCTTTGCAGAGCTATAGCCTGCGAATTTTCCGCAGGCAGAGCGAGAACTTACTGACGCATTTCTGATTTCTGACATTCATAATGTCCAACTCGACTCGGACCTCTCAGTTGAATAATCGTATCACTGTCGTACATTCTTCTCATTCATAATGTTTCTATTCTTACACGAATATCCTTCGCGAACCGCTATCGATCCCGTATCGTGACTGTAATATATTGACCACAACATGACAGACACGCGAGAGAGATTTAGCCAAGACGCGAACCTAAACGCGATGGTTAAACAGAAAACTATATTATTGATGAGGCAGAAGTGTTAATTTTCTATAGCGTTGTGTGATATTTTTCGGATATTTTGACGAGTAAATTCTGCGATAAATAACAAATTTTTATCGAAGAAAAATGTCTTTGGCGGATGAACTTCTCGCCGATCTCGAGGAAAATGACGACGCGGACGCTTTTATGGAGGAACCGGAGCCGCAATTCATTCCGGCTTCGGTCTCCAAAGTTATAGAAGAAGGTTAGATTATTCTTTATATATATTTTTCTTATTTAATTTTTTTAAACCACATTATATCATATTATCTAAAAATGTAATTTTTATATTACATTTTTTACATCACTATGTAAAAAAAGCACATATAAATTAATTTTTTTCCACAGAGATTAAGGTATCCTCTGTTCGAGAGTTAGCCAAGTTACGAGACTCAAAAGGATTGCAAAAGGTCATGTTGCAGATTGAAGAGCATATCAAAGTACCCAGAAAGTCAGCTGACATTGTTGGACCTGTAGAGTCCGATCCAGAATATCAGTTGATAGTTGAAGCTAATAATATGGCTGTAGATATCGACAATGAAATAGGTAATAATACAATTTGCATTTTTAATTTGTAAGGTATGTATGATATATATTGTTATATTAAAATATATAATTTTCATATTTTTAGCCACTATACACAGATTTACAAGAGATAAATATTCGAAAAGATTCCCAGAATTGGAATCCTTGGTAGTTGGACAATTGGAATATGTAATGACCGTTAGAGAATTGGGAAATGACTTGGACAGAGCCAAAAATAATGAAATTCTACAACAATTTCTTACTCAAGCCACAATTATGGTTGTTTCTGTGACAGCGTCAACTACTCAAGGGTAACATTTCACTAAGTACAGTCAAACCCCTCTAATTTCAAATTATCTAAATAACTAAACAAATCTGTTCTGAAGCTCTCATTTATATCATGGCATATCCACAGAAAATATTGATCACTGAATCATTTTATAATTTTTATAATTTCATTGATCATTTTTATCTTACATGTATTACAAATAATAAGAAAGCATCATAAAAATAAAAATTTAAGAGATTAATTAACTTGAAAATAGAGGATTATATATCATTATTAATTTTTAATGTTTAATATATTTCAAATATGTTGCCACTTACAGCCAATTATTGACAGAAGAAGAGAAAGAAGCCATTTGTGAAGCTTGTGACACAGCAGTAGAATTGAACAATTGTAAATTAAAGATATTCGAATATGTAGAAAGCAGAATGGCGTTTATTGCACCGAATCTATCGATAATTGTTGGTGCATCGACAGCCGCCAAAATTATGGGTATATTTTTTAAAATCACAATTATATATATATATATATATATTTATTTCAAAATAAGTGAATTTATATTGTAAGAAATTTCTGTGATTTAGGTGTTGCAGGTGGTCTGACAAAACTCTCTAAGATGCCAGCTTGTAACGTTCTAGTCCTAGGTTCTCAAAAAGCTACACTCTCTGGATTTTCCCAAGTAACCACCTTACCTCACACAGGATTCATATATTATTCCGATATTGTACAGGAAACGCCTCCTGTAAGTATAAAAGAATAAGTACAAAAGAGAGAGATAATAAAAGGAAATATAATAAAACTCAAATCTGATGATGTAGGATCTGCGGAGAAAAGCGGCAAGGCTTGTGGCAGCGAAGAGCATGCTGGCAGCTAGAGTGGACGCATGCCACGAGAGTACGGACGGTCACATTGGTCAAATGCTACGCGAGGAGATCGAGAAGAAATTGGACAAGCTGCAAGAACCGCCGCCTGTAAAGTTCGTGAAGCCGTTACCGAAACCGATTGATCCTGGTCGGAAAAACGTGGCGGTAAACGCGTCCGCAAGATGAAAGAACGCTACGCAATCACAGAGTTTAGAAAGCATGCCAACAGAATGAATTTTGCAGATGTAAGTTTTCTTTTAATACTCGTGATTTGTAATTTATCGAAGCTTAGATATTATAGAATGTGTATGTTATTGTCAATAGATTGAGAATGACGCTTACCAAGAAGATCTTGGTTACTCGCGAGGAACAATCGGCAAAGCCGGAGCTGGTCGGATCAGGCTGCCACAGATCGACGAAAAGACAAAAGTTAGGATATCCAAAACATTGCAGAAAAATTTGCAGAAACAACAACAGTGGGGTGGGAGCACTACTGTTAAGAAACAAGTGTCTGGCACAGCTTCCAGTGTAGCATTCACTCCTCTGCAGGTACGCTTACATATATTTCCTTTTATAAATTTTTATTAAATTTAATCTCACTAGTATAAAAATTCAATAATTTTCTTTTTATATAATTGGTAACATATTTACAGGGTCTTGAAATTGTCAATCCACAAGCTGCGGAGAAAAAAGTGAACGAAGCAAATGCGAAATACTTTTCTAATACTGCTGGTTTCTTAAAAGTTAAGAAAACGTAAACAAGAAACATTTTTTGCAGTAATAAACAGAATAAAACGCGTATATATTTAATATTCGTAAATTTGCATATTTTAAATTATCTGGTTGTTAATGTAATAAATGTAAATAAGAATATTGTATCGCAAATCAATTCAATTATTTATATTTTATACTAACTTTTATTTTTATACTAATAATTAAAGGAAAAAGATAAAAACATAAAAGAAAAAATAACACTTAATATATAATTTAATGTAGTATATACTAATCTTCTTCAATAATTATTTCTGCATCTTCATCTTTATATTCTATTGATATTTCGCTTTTCTTCGAAGAAGGTTAATGATTGATTCATACCATCGTGTTTCTGCTGTTGCCAAACATCGTCGTCTAGAAATAAATATATACATTAAAATAAAATATGCAAATATATAACAAAAAATGACAATTTATCTAATAATTACATATTACTATGATCATCTCGCGGTTTTCTCACTGGATTCCACGAAGTTACAGGCTTCTCATTCGCTAGCATCAAGCCACGAATGCAGTATGATAATGCAACTTTACTCAAATTGCGATCCTACCGAATTATGAAATATATAAAAACAAGTATTTTATATAATTAAAAGAATTGTAATAAAACTTACACGCCATTCAGAATTTAAAACCTCGGCTAAGCTCAAAATATCGGACGCTACAGTGGCTTCTTCTATAGTTCTTATAGTGTTTAAATAATTCTCCTGTAGAAATGAACAAACACCACCGAGTGTGACTGAAAGAATGCCGCTGTTTCTTCAGGATCATGTACGAAGGAATAGCCATCTAATTCTTCTGAAATATACATAAGTCATAATTATCTGTTCGCAAAGTCTAAAATTCGAAATAAATAAAATTAAAATAAAATTATACTTTTTCGGATTTATGACTCTTCCGACAACACCATGTAGTAGACCTAAAGTTTCTTCTCGAATACCACATTCGCTCTTCAAGTGTCTCTCGGGCACTAATATTTGTAAGAAAAACGTAATTAACTCTGATTCTTGCTTTAATTAATGTAACTCACTTTGAGAGAAATAAAAATTAGATTAAAACAGCACTGCGCACGTCTCCGACGCTATTAGATAATATTTCGTCGATGTGTTGCTGAGAAACTTGCAACATATCGCCCCGATAGAATTTAGTACACCAGATATTCGCTTCAGCATATTTTTCATCGCGGTTTGCGTGGCTGCATTTACACTGACGCCTGCGCCAATAAATCGCAATTATATTTAAAAATCGCGTATAAAAATGAATTTTTAATTTAAGAAAAAATCCAATTGACTTACTTGATGAGATCGATACCAAACTTTTCTCTGACATTGGGTGCGAATAATGTCTGCAGCAATCTAGAATTTCCAGTCTCTGTGCAAACAAATATCACTGGCTCCTTGCCTATCTGGAAATATTTTCTAAAAAATATATTTTTTAAGATAACAAATCAGGCAACCTCAATTTATTCATAATGTATATGCTG